ACTTCCAACTTTTCGAAGACATAGCTTAATATAGAAATGATGAATGAGACATTATATAAAATGCCAATAACATTCACAAATTATAATAAGCAATCTCACCTTCGAGTGACAACAAGCTAAGCGCAGTAAAGTCTACGTTTATTATTGTAGCAAATAAATGTAAATACCCAGCATTATTGATTAATCATTCACATATTCAAATTTTTGTCGAAGAAAATACTATTCAATCATTTTGTCATGTACCTCAAGCAATGCAGTTGAAGAAGCAAAACCTTGGCTAGCACCTTTAAGTCTGCGGCACATCAAAAAGTATTTACGAAGGAGGTCTTTACACTCCGTTGATAACCTACATGTGTCACAAGTGTAAGAGAATGTATTGAATTTATTTGAAAGATCTTTTGATATGAAGAGATTGAAAAAGCCTTACTTAACATCAATATTGCTCGCAATAGAAATGAACTCTCATTGTTTTCATTGATTAGTAATATAAAACGGAAATTGTATAATACAGCAAATAGTTAATATATATTCATTTTACCTGATGAAGATCATCAAAGGATAATCCGAATTGATTCTTTTTGTTTTCAAGGTTTAACATTTCTTTGTCAAGTAAATGGTCCACTAATAAACCATTAGCTTCAGAATCAACACATTCTTTAAGGTATACAACTAGATCAAATGTACTGTTTCAAAAAGGAATGATTGTGATTTATATAAGATTATATATAATATTCGAATCAAAAATAAATCAATGAAGAAATAAATAATGATTTATATATATTAACTCTATGATTGGCTTAACCGGGTCATTACAGATAGGCTACAAATATATTACAAATATATTAAAAAAAATTTTGCAAGTTTATAAATTGTCAAATATAGGATATTTATACGCCATTGATGCTCACTTCAATTCCTTCACTTTCTGTCGACCTGAGATTAATACCTTTGCCAGTAGGTCTCGCGACAGACCATCCCCAACAACAAGTATTTACATCAATGCATAATTTGTGGTAGCGATTTTGTGTTGATAAACTTGGACTTTTGCTCATGACTAGAAAATGTATAATGCATTAGAATATAAGTTTGGATGTTGTATGAACTATATGTATGCATATTTTGCTTACCAAGTCGTAGTGATTCTACATCTCTTTTACTCAAGGAATCCAAATTTACCATGAGGATGCCGCTCTGCGACTTTGCAAGAATAGTAGCTAAATTAACAGAGAAAATAAAAGAATGATGAGTGAAATTTTAATTAATAATATATACGTTTCATAGAGTTGCTTACATTCAATAAAGTTTTCTTTTGCAGTGCTGTTCCCATTCTGAATTATAAAAAGTGGTTGTTTCTTTTGACCATTGCCATATGACCATTCCTCGTTCCTATATTAAAAAGTCGAATAATCACTTAAATTGAGAATGTAGATGTATTTTAAGTAAATAATATATTTGAAATAAACCTTTTCAACTTTGACACATGTCTTATCATTTTAGGAATTATCGAATTGTATCCATCACTGATGATCATAATATGAATGCTTGGTGAGATACAGTGATTCTTTGATTGTTTTTCAGAAAGGGCAACTAGACTTTGTTTTGTGCAAATTTATAAATTAATTAATAAACATGCACCAAATCGAATTTAAAAATAACTAAAAAAAACTACAATAAAGTAAGCAAATTAATAAATTCATATACCTTAATAATAAGAATAGTTTGATTTTTCTATAGGCAGAATGTGGAACAATATCTTCTATAAAAAAAAAAAAAAACAAGTATTAATTTGTATAGCCTAACAAAAGAGATATATTCACAGATTGTCAAGTACCACAGAACACATCTACAAGTCTTTGTGTGAATCCCCAAGCTGACAAGTTTGCTATTAAAAATCAAAAATTAAAATAGATGCCAAATTAAAAAACATTCATTTGAATTTACTTTTGAACTCACATTTTTTAAGAATTTTAATGTAATTTGGGAGA